TGTTTGTGTCCTCTAAGATTAAATATGTGCGTAATGCTCAGATCTGACTCATATTTTAATTATATGTTGCAGAGACATGAAACTGTCCATTACTGAGCAAGAATAACTCTGCGATACAATGAAAGCTGCGTGGAAGCGCAATTACAAAAACTATTGGCTAGACTCCGTAAGAGACTTGCAAAAGAAGAATGAAGACGACATAATGTGACGCCGTTCTATTGGGTTATAGAAAAATAGCGGTACAGGTAATGCTTGTTGCCTGAAACGTCGCCTTGCATTGGGTTGAAGTCCCAAGTTCTAGCCGGCATACCCTGTGGGTGTTGGTAGTCAGGTGCCAATGGTTTGGTTTGCCGGTGGGCACCGCTACAGTCTGCTCACAGTTTAGCAGAAGACAAAACACGTTTTCTTTGCTGCCAATTTATTTATTTTTTTAGTTACATAGTTAGTCTGGCTGAAAAAAGGCAAAAGTCCATCCAGGTAAACCATTTAAAAAAAAAAAAAAAAAAAAAAAAAATGTATCCTATACTCAGTTGATCCAGAGGAAGGAAAAAAAAAAAACCCCAGCAAAGCATAATCCAATTTGCTCCTGCTGGGGAAAAAAATTCCTTCCTGATCCCCCAAGAGGCAATCGGATATTTCCTGGATCAACTTTACCTATAAATGTTTTATCCAGTTATATTCTGTGTATCTAAGAAAGCATCCAGGACTTTTTTTTAAAGAAATCCACTGAGCTGGCCAGAACCAACTCTTGAGAGAGTCTATTCCACATTTTCACAGCTCTCACTGTGAAGAAACCTTTCCGTGGAGATTAAATGTATTTTCCTCCAGATGTAAAGAGTCCCCCCTTGTCCTCTGTGATGACCTCAGGGTGAATAACTACACCGAGTTCATTATATGGACCACTGATGTATTGGTGATCATATCCCCCCTTATGTATTATACATGGTGATCATATCCCCCCTTATGTATTATACATGGTGATCATATCCCCCCTTATGTATTATACATGGAGATCATATCCCCCTTATGTATTATACATGGAGATCATATCCCCCCTTATATTTTATACCTGGAGATCATATCCCCCTTTATGTATTATACATGGAGATCATATCCCCCCTTATGTATTATACATGGAGATCATATCCCCCCTTATGTATTATACATGGAGATCATATCCCCCCTTATGTATTATACATGGAGATCATATCCCCCCTTATGTATGTATTATGGTGACATATACCCCCCTTATGTATTATACATGGTGATCATATCCCCCCTTATGTATTATACATGGAGATCATATCCCCCTTATGTATTATACATGGAGATCATATCCCCCCTTATGTATTATACATGGAGATCATATCCCCCCTTATGTATATACATGGTGATCATATCCCCCCTTATGTATTATACATGGTGATCATATCCCCCCCCTTATGTATTATACATGGAGATCATATCCCCCCTTATGTATTATATATGGTGATCATATCCCCCCTTATGTATTATACATGGAGATCATATCCCCCCCCTTATGTATTTATACATGGAGATCATATCCCCCCTTATGTATTATACATGGAGATCATATCCCCCCTTATGTATTATACATGGAGATCATATCCCCCTTATGTATTATACATGGAGATCATATCCCCCCTTTATGTATTATACATGGTGATCATATCCCCCTTATGTATTATACATGGTGATCATATCCCCCCCCCTTATGTATTATACATGGTGATCATATCCCCCCCCCTTATGTATTATACACGGTGATCATATCCCCCCCTTATGTATTATACATGGAGATCATATCCCCCCTTATGTATTATACATGGAGATCATATCCCCCCCTTATGTATTATACATGGAGATCATATCCCCCCTTATGTATTATACATGGAGATCATATCCCCCCTTATGTATTATACATGGAGATCATATCCCCCCTTATGTATTATACATGGAGATCATATCCCCCTTATGTATTATACATGGTGATCATATCCCCCCCCCTGTATTATACATGGTGATCATATCCCCCCTTATGTATTATACATGGAGATCATATCCCCCCTTATGTATTATACATGGTGATCATATCCCCCCTTATGTATTATACATGGTGATCATATCCCCCCTTATGTATTATACATGGAGATCATATCCCCCTTATGTATTATACATGGAGATCATATCCCCCCTTATGTATTATACATGGAGATCATATCCCCCCTTATGGAATTTATCATGGAGATCACATCCCCCTTATGTATTATACATGGAGATCATATCCCCCCCTTATGTATTATACATGGTGATCATATCCCCCCTTATGTATTATACATGGAGATCATATCCCCCCTTATGTATTATACATGGAGATCATATCCCCCTTATGTATTACACTTGGAGATCAAATCCTAGGTGATTGCAGTGGAAGTGGGTACCTGTCAAATTTATGTACCTGCTCCCCAAAGGTGCCAATCCTTAATGGGGAGCGGGGTGGCAAAGCATTAAAACGGAACTTTCCCTTTTGGGTGGAGCTCCGCTTTAATCAGAGATATGCTGCTCTCTTCTTGGTGTCCTTTCGATGAATGGTCTGCGATTACCAAGATTTAATTGGGCCTGCTTCTTTCATAGTGGGCTGTGAAATGATCTTTGATGATCTTTCATTTTCTCCTCTGCCAAAACGGGCTAACTAATTCCAGTGTAATAACCTGCACATAGAAATGAGGTTTAAACACACGCTGCTAAAATATTTACTTTCACTGAATTGATTTAGCAAATATCTAACAATGTTTAATAAAATGCAATGCAAAATATATAAAATAGTGCATCTCACAGATAACACGCTGTTAACACGGATTTATCCAGCAGTTCCACGTATCGGTGGATTAGCTCGGGGTCAGCAGCTCATTTTCCTGATTCTATGCAAGAATGTAAAAAACCTTTATGCTCCGTTCACACCTATGCAGTTTGCTTTTTGTCTGTTTTGCAGTGCTTTTCGCAGTTTGTTTGGCGTTTTTTTTACCTCGTTTTGTTCAGTTTTTTTTTTCTTTTTGTTAAAGTGGATTTTTTCTGTTGCTGGGCAGAATAAAAATGCCAAAAAAATGCAAAACGTGGAAAAAACACACTACTATGCATTTCAGAAGCTTCTCCATTGAACTCTATTGTAGCAAAAACGCTGCTTTTTGCTTTTAAAAAAAAAGTCCCTGGCGCTTTCCAAAAAACGCAGCAGCTGAAAAAAGCATAGATGTGAATATGTTCCATAGGAAACCATGTTAAATGGACTGTAGTGCATTTCTGCAAAAAAACACTTCAAAAACGCATCGGTGTGAACGGAGCCTCCCCCAATATTTACCTGAGCCCCATCTCAATCAAGTGATGTGCACGATAGTCACAGCCATAGGGGAGGGAGCATCCCCCAATATTTACCTGAGCCCCATCTCAATCAAGTGATGTGCACGATAGTCACAGCCATAGGGGAGGGAGCATCCCCCAATATTTACCTGAGCCCCATCTCAATCAAGTGATGTGCACGACAGTCATAGCCAGAGGGGAGGGAGCATCCCCCAATATTTACCTGAACCCCATCTCAATCAAGTGATGTGCACGATAGTCATAGCCAGAGGGGAGGGAGCATCCCCCAATATTTACCTGAACCCCATCTCAATCAAGTGATGTGCACGATAGTCACAGCCAGAGGGGAGGGAGCATCCCCCAATATTTACCTGAACCCCATCTCAATCAAGTGATGTGCACGATAGTCATAGCTAGAGGGGAGGGAGCATCCCCCAATATTTACCTGAACCCCATCTCAATCAAGTGATGTGCACGATAGTCATAGCCAGAGGGGAGGGAGCATCCCCCAATATTTACCTGAGCCCCATCTCAATCAAGTGATGTGCACGATAGTCATAGCCAGAGGGGAGGGAGCATCCCCCAATATTTACCTGAACCCCATCTCAATCAAGTGATGTGCACGATAGTCATAGCCAGAGGGGAGGGAGCATCCCCCAATATTTACCTGAACCCCATCTCAATCAAGTGATGTGCATGATAGTCATAGCCAGAGGGGAGGGAGCATCCCCCAATATTTACCTGAACCCCATCTCAATCAAGTGATGTGCACGATAGTCATAGCTAGAGGGGAGGGAGCATCCCCCAATATTTACCTGAACCCCATCTCAATCAAGTGATGTGCACGATAGTCATAGCCAGAGGGGAGGGAGCCTCCCCCAATATTTACAGGAACCCCATCTCAATCAAGTGATGTGCACGATAGTCATAGCTAGAGGGGAGGGAGCATCCCCCAATATTTACCTGAACCCCATCTCAATCAAGTGATGTGCACGATAGTCATAGCCAGAGGCGAGGGAGCCTCCCCCAATATATTTACCTGAGCCCCATCTCAATCAAGTGATGTGCACGATAGTCATAGCCAGAGGGGAGGGAGCCTCCCCCAATATTTACCTGAACCCCATCTCAATCAAGTGATGTGCACGATAGTCATAGCCACAGGGCAGAGAGCAGGGGGCGGGGCCAAGCAGTGCTCTGTGTGTCAACAGACACAGAGCGGGGCTCAGCGGTGAGCAAGTGGGGGCACTTTGTAGGGGGGAGGAGCCAGGAGTGCTGGCAGGGAAACCAAGAGGAGGATCAGGACTGCTCTGTGCAAAACCATTGAACATAGCAGGTAAACATAACATGTTTGGTTTTTTTTTTAATTTTTACCCTTCGAATCACTTTAACTGTGTGTACACTCTGGGTTTTAATTTTTTTTTTCCCCCCTTTAAAATGACAGTCCCTATAAAAGTAAAATGGACATGTTGAATCTTGTAGGCCCGGAACATTAGAACTGCAGCTTCTATACACAAACCCTTCATCCTTTTCTTTCTACTCCCACGTCTGGATACTGCTCTTACTTCCCAGCCCCCCCCCCCCCCCCCCAATCCCCAGGCATAGTGCGTCTCACAGATAACACTTACGCTGCCAAAATATTTGTCCAGCAGTTCCACGTATCGGTGGATTAGCTCCAGGGTCAGCAGCTCATTATCCTGATCTTCAACCGCACAACAGAAATACAGGCTGGCATATCTAGGAGAGAAAGCTTGGATTTAAAGAAGGAGATAAACAGGAGGTGGGTGGGGGTTGGGGGGGGGGGGGGGGGGAAGTGTGCCGGAGGTCAGTACATCTAGACTGAATCTTAATAATGGTCATATAGAACATTCAAATAATGGTTTAAAAATGCAGTGAGAAGAAAATCAGTTATTTTATTAAAAGGGGAAATAAAATATTTACAGTAGTTATAATAGACACAGTAACAGTAGGCAAAGCAGCAGGTGCAAAACTTGGCCAAAGAAAAAAAAAAAAAAAGCAACCCTAAAACCCCCCCCCCCCCCCCCCCCCAAAAAAAAAAAAAAAAAAAAAAATGTAGTAAAGAACCACCTCTTAAAGTGATTGTAAACCTTGTATATGAAAAGTAAACAAGAGCATATCCTTCTATACTGTGTGCTTGCCACAATCTAAAGCACTGAGTGCGATTTCTGTCTTCTCAGCCAATCCTCTGCTATTGGCTATTGAAACCACAGAATGGCAGAATATGACCCCCGTCACCCACTCTAGCACATAGAAGGTGAATGAAAGCCTCTGCTGTGCATGTTTCCCTATGAGACTGTGTAGAGTGGGATGTATTTCTACCCTCCACTTAGGTGTCATATTACACTCAGCTCTCTGCTGTGCAGTGTGTGACATCAAATCCCTGTCCTCTGCCTGCTGGAGTTGAGAAATAGCCTTTGATCTGTGTGCTTTAAAACAGGGGTCTCCAAACTTTCTAAACAAAGGCCAATTTACTGTCCTTCAGACTTTAGAGGGGCCAGACGCTAATCTAGAGTATTATGGTAAGGAACTGAGCCCCCTCGTCGGCGCCAGTGGGACGAACAGCGAGAGCCCCCTCGTCGGCGCCAGTGGGACGAACAGCGAGAGCCCCCTCGTCGGCGCCAGTGGGTGGGACGAACAGCGAGAGCCCCCTCGTCGGCGCCAGTGGGACGAACAGCGAGAGCCCCCTCGTCGGCGCCAGTGGGACGACGAACAGCGAGAGCCCCCGTCGTCGGCGCCAGTGGGACGAACAGCGAGAGCCCCCTCGTCGGCGCCAGTGGGACGAACAGCGAGAGCCCCCTCGTCGGCGCCAGTGGGACGAACAGCCAGTGCCCCATCGTCGGTGCCAGTGCAAAGAACAGCCAGTGCCCCATCGTCGGCGCCAGTGCAAAGAACAGCCAGTGTCCCATCGTCGGCGCCAGTGCAAAGAACAGCCAGTGCCCCATCGTCGGCGCCAGTGCAAAGAACAGCCAGTGCCCCATCGTCGGCGCCAGTGCAAAGAACAGCCAGTGCCCCATCGTCGGCGCCAGTGCAAAGAACAGCCAGCGCCCCATCGTCGGCGCCAGTGCAAAGAACAGTGCCCCATCGTCGGCGCCAGTGCAAAGAACAGCCAGTGCCCCATCGTCGGCGCCAGTGCAAAGAACAGCCAGTGCCCCATCGTCGGCGCCAGTGCGAAGAACAGCCAGTGCCCCATCGTCGGCGCCAGTGCGAAGAGCAGCCAGTGCCCCATCGTCGGCGCCAGTGCGAAGAGCAGCCAGTGCCCCATCGTCGGCGCCAGTGCGAAGAGCAGCCAGTGCCCCATCGTCGGCTCTAGTGCAAAGAACAGCCAGTGCCCCATCGTCGGCGCCAGTGCAAAGAACAGCCAGTGCCCCATCGTCGGCTCCAGTGCAAAGAACAGCCAGCGCCCCATCGTCGGCGCCAGTGCCCCATCGTCGGCTCCAGTGCAAAGAACAGCCAGCGCCCCATCGTCGGCGCCAGTGCCCCATCGTCGGCGCCAGTGCAAAGAACAGCCAGTGCCCCATCGTCGGCGCCAGTGCGAAGAACGGCCAGTGCCCCATCGTCGGCTCCAGTGCAAAGAACGGCCAGTGCCCCATCGTCGGCTCCAGTGCAAAGAACAGCCAGTGCCCCATCGTCGGCGCCAGTGCAAAGAACAGCCAGTGCCCCATCGTCGGCGCCAGTGCAAAGAACAGCCAGTGCCCCATCGTCGGCGCCAGTGCAAAGAACAGCCAGTGCCCCATCGTCGGCGCCAGTGCAAAGAACAGCCAGTGCCCCCATCGTCGGCGCCAGTGCAAAGAACAGCCAGTGCCCCATCGTCGGCGCCAGTGCAAAGAACAGCCAGTGCCCCATCGTCGGCGCCAGTGCAAAGAACAGCCAGTGCCCCATCGTCAGCGCCAGTGCAAAGAACAGCCAGTGCCCCATTGTCGGCTCTAGTGTAAAGAACAGCCAGTGCCCCATCGTCGGCGCCAGTGCAAAGAACAGCCAGTGCCCCACTGCGGCGCCAGTGCAAAGAACAGCCAGTGCCCCATCGTCAGCGCCAGTGGCAGAAATGATGCCCCACTAACGGTGTCAGTAGGGGGAATAGTGCTTTGTATCAGAAGGCAGAATAGTGCCCCAAAGGTCGGATAAAACATATGCAAAGGGCCACATCTGGCCCTCAGGCTGCAGTTTGGAGACCACTGCTTTAGAAGGGTGTAGAGAAAATAAATAATACAAAAGGGATAACAGGTGCATGGTGTGGCAGTCCATGTATATTTGATGGGTTCCAAATGGGCAGGGGTAAAGGTAGTCCAGTAGGCACTAAGGGCAAGCTGCGTAGGAGCGAAGCAACACTCTGCAGAAGGGAAACAAAGAAACACAAACGCCTCTAAGTGTGTACTGTGAAGGTATTTAATAAAAAGATAAGTAGTAACTCACATCTTAGAATTTAAAAACAGGCTCAAGGGTAAGAGGGTGAGACGGCTGTAGCCAGATGTTGTTGTATGTCTGATCCAGAGAGGAGATCAATGGAGTCCGTCAGCAGGTGGTGCTGTGCATGTGCAACATGGATGGTAAGCCTGGTGGAATCTCCAAGGTATCTGCCAGCAGATGGTGCTGTGCATATGCAGCACGGATGGTGGGGCTTGGCAGAGTCTCCAAGATGTCCAGGATCAGCACATGTGGCGTCTGACGTCATCAAAATTCTAGGCATCCTCTCTGGATCAGACACACACACAACAACCTCTGGCTACAGACGTCTCACCCTCTCACCCTTGAGCCTGTTTTTAAATTCTAAGATGTGAGTTACTACTTATCTTTTTATTAAATACCTTCACAGGACACACTTAGAGGCGTTGTTTTTTTTTGTTCTCCTTTGTGTAAAGAAAAGAAAGCTACAGATAGACAGGTAAATAGCCAGGAAGGTGCCTCTAAGTGCAGTAAGCAGCCGTTTATTGAGTAGTAAAGGTTAAAGCACTTACAAGATAGCAGTCAGATAAAAGCTCATCAGGTATAATGCCAGGGAGACACACTGAGCCGACCAGCTGTAGTGAGTGTGGTGGAACGCACGGGCAAGATGGCTGCCGTACTTCCAGGAAAAGCATGGAACACACATGCCGGACGTGACATCAAGGGGGCGTTAACACGTTTCAGAGGATGTGCAGACACTCCTTCCTCAGACGTTGCGGGCAAGATGGCTGCCGTACTTCCAGGAGAGGCCTGGAACACACATCAAGGGGGCGTTAACGCATTTCGGAGAATGTGCAGACACTCCTTCCTGATACTGCGAGCAAGACAGACGCCGTACTTCCAGGAGAGGCGTGGAACACAAACGCAGGACGTGATATCAAGGTGGCAGTAACGCGGTTCGGAGCACGTGCAGACACTCCTCCTTGGCATTATACCTGATGAGATTTTATCTGACTGCCATCTTGTAAGTGCTTTTAACCTTCACTAACTGCTGCATACTGCACTTAGGAGGTGCCTTCCCTGCTATATTTACTTTACTAGAGTCTGCTTCCACTCTTGAAGGGCTGCTCCAGTGCACAGTGTGCTCCCATGTCATCTGGTCTCCTTTCCCTCCACTGGATGCCCAAGATCCTTTTCTCCTGGAGGTCACACCAGTGCAGAGAGCCCTACAAACACTGTTACAGATAAACAGGTACAACTTATATAGGAGGACTTGTTTCATCTCTATGTGTCACCTGAGGACAGTTACTTCAGTTACTTTAATAAAGGGTTTGTAAGGTTGCATATTCAGTAGGAATGAGCTCAGGAGTGTTTCAATCCTAATCCCAACAAACCTGAGCAATCCCACTAGGAAGCGGTCACCTGTAATGTACCAATCACAAGTGACCAAGGCTTTCTCCACCCCACATCGACATGTAAAATGCAGCTGCAGGGCAGGGAATGGCTCGGCCAAGTACAGGTGACAGCTTCCTGGTGGGATCACTCAGGTGGGTTGGGACTAGGACCTGAGCACACCTGAGCCCATTACTAAATCTTCAGTATGGGGTTGTTTTGGGCACATACTGGGGGGGGGGGGGAAATACAAAAAGAAACATAAGCAGTATATTCCTGCAGTTACCTCCGTTTTCTCATCTATAGACCCTGCAAGTAGAGAAAAATACCTTTTGATCTGCCAGGAACACATAAGGAGGTTAACCACTTTCCGTGTGGCCCATTTACATAAACGGCCGGAAGGGAGCAGTGCAGGGGTGAGTGGCTGTTTTTTGAGACAGATAAAACTTTATTTTGGTGGTATTTATTCACCACTGGGATTTTTTTTTTTTTTGCTATATAAATAAAAAATCCAAAAATTTTGAAAAAAAAAAAAAAAAAAAAAAAAGTGTTTTTCTTATAAAATTTTGCAAATAAATAACCTTTCTTCATAAATCTTGGCCAAAATGTATTCAGTTATCTTTTTATAAAAAAAAAAAAAAAAAACCCAAATTGGTTTATAACCAAAGATTATGTTTCTAAATTTTTTTTTACATTTTTATTTTTTTATATTATTATTTTTTTTTTTTTTTACATACTGTCACCCTAGCAGTACAGTGTCACCATGGTGACACTGTACTACTTGTGGGGTGTGATGAAGATTTAATTTTTTTTTTTACACCGATTGCTTTTAAACCCATAAAGGCTGTAAAAGCAATAATTTCTCCTCCTCTCTGGCTGCATTCTTGCAGCCATTGAGAAATACTGTGAGAACTGTGATTGGTCACAGCTTGTCACATGGTACA